AGGCCTCTGGTCCATGCCCCTGCAGTCTCCATACATATTTGCAGCATCTGGAGTGAGCAAGCATCCCTCCTGAGAGATGTTAGGAGACCAAGTGACACTAAGAGGTGATAGCACATTTGGAGGAGCTGTGGGGACCCTGGGTCTGGTTTTAAGGCCCTCCCTAAGCCTCCTTGATCTTCATTGCCCTTCGCATATTGAGGAAACAAAAATGAACTCAAGGTATGCAAACGTGCTATCTGTCCCCTCTTCAGAGCCCATATCACACACCAGCTCTCTCCTTCCTTCTTGTCACAGCCAAACTTCTGGAAAGAATTTTTCCTAAGCTCCTTCCCTGCCTGGCTAACCCTATTGATCCAAAAAGCTGCCAAAACATGGAGACTGAGACAGTTTGAGCACCAAACTATTCGGTGCCCCATCTGGTTGTGGGGCCCTGCGCAGGTGATTTGTCTCTCTTTATTCGTGTGTAAGGTAGGATGACAGTAGTACAAGGATGTGAATGTTGTACTGGGACTAGATGGTTCTGTTTCTGTAAAGTGCTTAGAACAGCATCTGGCATGTGATGAGCAAATATCTCAGAATCAATCATAAAAAGATAGAAAAAAGAATAAAGGATAAAGACTGAAAACAAGGGCCGGGGATTTAGCTCAGTGGTTCGGTGGCCTGCCTTGCAAGCACAAGGACCCGAGTTCAATCCCGGTACCAAAAAAAAGACTGAAAACAAATTCTAGCCTCTCTGGGACCCCTGGAATTGAGATACCTGCAGTACAACAACCTAGGGAAGAGGAAAAATAAGTAGAGTTACAGGAATCAAGAAGGAGCCAGGGCCGGGATTAAGCTCAGTGGTTTCACCACCTGCCTTCCAAGCACAAGGGCCTAATTTTGATACACAGTACCAAAAAAAAAAAAAGAATGCAGAGGGAAAAAAAAGCAGTCTCAAGTGTTTGCTTTAACTCCCTGCAAGGAGACCCATTTCTGCAAACACAGAGTAAGTCTGGAGAGGGTCACCAGCACAAAGGAGAAACAACAGACTGGCAGCACTAGTCCATGGTTATCAGAAGCTTGAAAATATAGCACATGATTTTGCTCTTCCATGAGACTAACTGGAGTTGGAGAAGAAATTCATTGCCTTGTATGCCACACTTGAGAGTGAGATAATCAGAATCCACTTTGGAATGAGGTTTTTGTCTAATTCTGAGCTGCTCTGGGAATCAGCTGTCACAGAACAACTACACTTCAGAATCTCTGGAGTTACCCTGCCAAAGTGCCTGTGTGGGAGACAGCTATAAGAGACAGCTACAGAAAGGGGGTGGGCTAGCCAAAGATCCCTTAAGAAGTTCAAGCCTCTGCAAGATCAGATTGCAGCCACTCACACAGTGATCCCACTCACGGTGGTGAGAAGCCAGGCTGATCATATGGTTTTCTGAGGGGGCTGGGGCTGAAAGTGCTAATTAATATTAAGTCCAGTGGACTGCTTGGCCCTCATTGCTGCCTACTTTCAGCACAGAGTGTGACCCTGGATATTCCTTGGCTGCAAGAGTTGCCAAACCCTAGGGTGAATGGACTGAGGGGCCTCTGGAGAAAGGGAGGCTCTTCGTGAGTCAACAGAGCATAAATTTAGAATGGACCCTAAATTTCACAAGGGTTATGTTCCTAGAGCACCGATGAATTGTGAAAAACCACGAATTTCAGATAATGGTCCAAAATGGTTGTAATTGCCTATTTTTATAGTTTAAATCCTAAATGTGCTATCTCCCGAAGTTATGTAATTTAAGAAAATACCCTATTGGGCCGGGGATTTAGCCCAGTGGTTCCGCCGCCTTCCTTGCAAGCGCAAGGACCCGAGTTCAACCCCCAGTACCAAAAAAGAAAGAAAGAAAGAAAGAAAGAAAGAAAGAAAGAAAGAAAGAAAGAAAGAAAGAAAGAAAGAAAGAAAGAAAATACCATATCAATGAAGCCTTAAAAGGTACAGGATGTTTTGGCGGCATTTTAGGGATCTTAAGGGCCTTAAGAAAAACAAAACCGAGAACACTAAAGAGGGCAACCTGTTATGACACAGGAATGCTGGTGCATCCGCCATGGGGTACAGGGCAGTAAGCCAATCAGCAGCAAGGAGAAATTGGTACCGCTCTGGGCTTGGCTACTTGCAAACCTCCTGCCAAAAAAACAATTGTGGAAGATAATTTGCAGTTTCCACGAAATTGCAGGGCTTTCCCATGAACAATTGTTCATTAGGTTCTCAGGAAAAATCCCCAAACGACTGAGGCCACAAACTTTGAAGCTCGACTTCACAGGGTGAACTGCCGTTGGAGAGCAAGGTGACTTGGGCCACACAAAAGGATGCAAACGCTGTCACTGGAGTGAATGTAGCCCTAAGACAGGCTCCACACCCTTGACTGACCATGCCCAGCTGGACGGTCAGGGCAGGACTCGGCATTAACACAGTAAAAAGTGGGGGTGGAAACAAAATAGGCCCGGATTGTGACTCACTATCCCCTACCCACATCTGTTGGGGTCCAATACCATATGCCCTAGAAACAGACCGCTCACCCAAACATGCACAGAAATTTGGGGCTCATTTCTCCTTGCACCCTCCCACCCCCACATCTTTTGCCCTTTTTAATTTTCTTTTTCTTGTCTTTTTGTTTCTTTTAACTAATTCACTTAACTTTCTTTTATCCTTTAATCAGATTTTTTATCTGACTTTTCTCTCCTCATCATTCTTTTCTTTCTTTTTCAAATTTTACCTCTTTCCTTTTGCCCTTCCTCCAATCCCTCCATGTTTATTATTACTATTAAGCTTTATTAATTTTTTTCTAATTGACCGATATTATTGCTGAATTCTTTTCTATGGTTAATGCGGTATAGTTGCTGCTTTTACTAGATATTTACTGAATGTCAATATCTGGTCTGTCTTTGTACCTACATTATTATTGTAATTTCTATTGTTAGGGATAATATAGTTGTAGCTATTATTGGTTCATATGATATGTTATTACTAGTTTGTGTTTGACTATTATTACTGCTGATTTCTATTGTTAATGGTGGTATAAATGTTGCTTTTAATTGGTTTTTACAGTATATGAGTATCTGGTTTTTCCTTGTGTTGTCAACATTCCTGTCATCTGTTTTCTCCTCTCTGAGTGATGCTGCAGGTCAAGCCCCTAGAATAAAGCCCTCAAATATTACCCTGAATAGGCTAAAGAGAGGAATAAACATCAAAACATAACCATACCCAAGGATACATCACGGGGAGGCAGATAACTAATGAGCTCTCCACAGTAGTGACAATTTCTCTGCCCAGACTGATCTTCAACCCACAGCCCAAAAACATTAGAAACACGAGAAAACAGACAATGAGATGCCCCCACAAACAGACCGCCTAGACACTGAAGTAGAGGAAGTTCTAGGCCAAGAACTCCAAAATAAATGGCCAAAATGTTTGAAGAGATAAAAGAAGAAACATCATAGAAGCAGATGCATAAGATGTTTAATGAGAGCAAAGAAGATTTAATTAAATAGATAAAGAACTTTACCAGTGAAAATGTTTAAACTAAATGAGTGAAGCAAGACAATTCAAGACATGAATGACCACCTCAGAAAAGAATTAGAAAGTGTGAAAAGAAAACAAGCAAGGATAGATGATACAAAAAATTCAGTGAAAACCCTGAACAGCAGACTTGACCAATGTGAGGACAGGGTGTCAGAAGACAGGGTTGATTATAAACTCAACAATAACCTAGAAATTAAAGGTGTAGGGAAAGTGGGAAGGGTAGGGGAAAAATAATAAGGGAAAGAAAAAAAATAGGAGAAAATGAAAAAATGGATATAAAATGTTTATAAATGGGGAGGGCAGGGACAAGGGGAAAAAATGAGAACCAAGACCTGTCATGTAAAGGTACAAGATCCCAATGATGAATGTAACTGTACTGTGTGCCTAAAATATACCAATAAACTCAATGAGGAAAAAAATAATAACCTAAAAATAACAAGGCACCTTGCAGGCTGGGTCTAAAGGCTGCTAGATGAAAGGGGGGAAAAAAACACAAAAATCCTCAGACTTATAGGAATAAAAGAAGAAAGTTATTCACTGAAATTATAAAGGAAAGTTTTCCAAATCTAGGGAAAGAATTCGATATTCAAGTATAAGAGGCATATAGAACCTAACAGAGATGCACCTCATCCAAAAGGAAATACATCGACTGAAAACAAAAGGATGGAAAGCGATACTCCATTCAGTTGGAGCTTGAAAACAAGCAGGAATAGCTGTCTTATTTTCAGACAGAGACGACTTCAGGCGAAAGTTTGTCAGAAGAGACAAAGATGGTCACTACATTTTAGTAAAGGGACCACTTGAATAGAAAGAGCAAACAATTGTAGATATCTATTCACCCAATGTCAGTGCACTCAATTTCATAAAGCCAAGGACAGAGAGACACCAATACAATCATGGTAGGGGACTTCAGTCTCCTACTGTCACAATTACGAGGTCAACCAGACAAATCAACAGAGAACCATCAGAGTCAAACCACACCACTGAACAAATGGACCTAACAAACATGTACAGTGCTTCATCCAACAACAAAAAACACATTCTTCTCAACAGCACACAGAATTTTTTCCAAATAAACCATATCTTAGGCCATAAAATGCTTAAGTAAATACAAAAGAACTGAAATAATCCCCTGTGTATTATTGGGTCATAGTGGAATGAAACTAGAAATCAATAGTAAAAGAAGCCACAGAAGATACAAAAATACATGGAGATTAAGTAACACATTATTGACTAATGAATGCATCACAGAAGAAACAAAAAACTTTCTAGAATCAAAGGACCATGGGAAAGGGAGAAGGAGGAGGAACAGAAGATTTATTAAAGGGGGTGTGAGAGTTAACTGAGTCAAATTAAATAAGAAATGCCCAACTAAATTGGATCTGCATAGTTCGGGATGTCACTGAAGAGATTTACCGGAGACAGGTGACCCACCCTGGGTCACCCAGTGATGCCAACCAATAGGCTGTCATCTGAATGGAATAAAAAGAGAAAGGTCAGCACCCAGCTCGGTGCTCTTTGGTTTGCTGCTGTCCAGGTTCCGCAGACAGCGGAGACCACGGGTTTTGGAGACCTGAAAAGTCCTGCTGGCCTCCAGGTGCTCAACAATTTCCTGGCGGACGAGAGCTACAGAGAGGGACACACGTCCTCACAAGCAGATGTGGCAGCATTGGAAGCAGTCTCCTGCCCACCACCTGCCAACGTGTGTCACGCCCTACATTGGTACAATCACATCAAGTCGTACAAAAAGGAAAAGGCCAGCCTGCCAGGAGTGAAGAAAGCTTTAGGGAGGTATGGTCCCACCAGTGTGGAAGACACCACCAGAAGTGGAGCTGCAGAGAATAAAGATGATGCTGATGATGATATATTGATCTCTTTGGGTCTGCTGATGAGGAGGAAAGCTAATAAGCAGAAAAGGCTAAGGGAAGAACAACTTGCACAGATTCATCTAAGAAAGCCAAAAACCTGCACTTGTTGTGTTACCAACTCTTCCATCTTGCTAGTTGTGAAACCTTGGGATGACGAGACAGATACTGTAAAATTAGAGGAGGTCGAACGCGGCATTCAAGCAGATGGCTTGGTCTGGGGCCCCTCTAAACTAGTTCCAGTGGGATACGGAATTTAAAAACTGCAAATACAGTGTGCAGTTGAAGATGATAAACTTGGAACGGATGTGCTGGAGGAGCAGATCACTGCCTTTGAGGACTATGTGCAGTCCGTGGACGTGGCTGCTTTTAACAAGATCTAAGATTCTTCCTGGATCGTTGCACTTCAGCGAAAGCTTAAACGACAAAAAAGAAGGAAATAAAGAAGGAAGACTCACTCCTGTTTCTTTGGAGGAGCTCCAGGATTCCCTCCACCTTGGACTTCGTCTCCTGGCTTCCAGTGGTGACTCTTCAGCCTTCCCCACGGATACTTCCGTCTTGCAGAGCAGAACATTTGACCTTCTGACATGGACTCACACAGGACCCTACACTGCGCTCCAGGCCTTCAACTGGACCCCTCAGGTCTCTAGCACACAGACAGACCTTCTGCACTTTTCCACACTTGACTATGTGGGCAGCCATTATGACAATCTTGTAATTCTTACATATTAGTGTATCTTGCATTAAACCTGTTTCTCTAGTAAGTACTGACCGACAAGGTCGGTCAATCATGAGGTGCTGTGTACGGGCACCAAGTCCTGAGGAGTAATGTGATCATCACGTACCACAAACATGTATAAATAGGAGAAGGGGTTTGAGAGGTACAGGGAGGGGGAGGAGGGGGAGGAGAGGGGTTTTTTTAAAAAGAAATTGAGAAATGTCTTGTGCATGTACCAACTCCCCACGTGAATATAATCATACTGTATTATAGCTGTGTACCAGTAGTAAAGGACACTGGCAACACAACATACCAAAATGTATCGAACACAATAAAAGCAGTTCTAAGGAGGAAGGTTAGAGCTACAAATAAACACACAGAGTGATCCCAAATAATAACCTAACAATGCACCTCCAGGTACTAAAAAGACAAGAAAAACCCAAATCTGAAACTAACAGAAGGAAAGAAACTATAAACATCAGCGTGGAAATTAGTGAAATTGAGACTAAAACACAGTGTGAAGGACCAGTGAGTCAAATGGTTTTTTGAAAGGATGGGAAAGGGATCTGAGGATGAGGAAGATGGAAGTGGAGGAAGGAGGAGTAAAAAGGATCAAGATGCAGTATGTATATGCACAAACTCCCCCATGTTGAATGTATTTATTATGTATTGCAAGCATACTAATAAAAAATTGAGAAGAAAAAAATACATTACAAATACTCAAGTGAAAACTGGGCAAAGGATACGGGAGGTAATTGAAGACAGAACTGCACGGCCAATATTCAAGGAAAATGGTAATGGTATTATTGGTAGACAGGGGAACGTAAGTAGAAATGACCACATACTAACATTACCTTACAGATAATGTCAAGGAGGCAGTAAATTAGCAGGTTGATAGTGCCGAGTGTTGAGAAGGCACCCAAGTAATAGTATCTATTCCCACACACCACAAGTGGAGATGTGAATTGGTAAAATCACTTCAGAAAACCGTCCTGTACTATCATGTAAGGCTGACTCTCTTGAGGGCTGGGGATTTAGCTCAGTGGCACTGCACCTGCCTCACAAGCACAAGGTCCTGAGTTCGATCCCCAGACCTGGAAAAAATATTCCATTATTCTCCTGAGACTGTAATCTGGGAAATGAATACACAAGGAGTTTGTTATAGCCACATTTACAACAGTGAAAAACTGGGGACAAAACAAGTGGTTGTCTACCAACTGGTGAGTGGGGAAACATTTAAAATGCACATGTACACAACCGAGTAACACTAGCACTAAAAATTTATGGTCTGCAATGAGGGAAAAAAATTAATGGTCTGGCTCTGTGAACTGTGTTAATGTGAAAGCCATTTTTTTTCAGCTTTAATTGAGTTTATTGGTACATTTTAGGGATACAGTACAGTTACATTCATTGTTGGGATCTTGTACCTCTACATAACAAGTCTTGATTCTCATTTTTTTCCCTTACCCCTGCCCTCCCTTCACCCCTCCTCCCCTCCAGATCTACAAACACTTTATTTTCATTTTTTCATTATCTCACTTTTTTTCTTTTCCCTTTTTACTCTTCCCCTACCCATCCCACCTTCCCTACACCTTTAGCCCCTTTCTTCCCATTTCTAGATGTCAGTAATCTTATTAGGATCTTATGTATTATTGCAGATTATTCACCCAAGAGAAACTATTCGGTATTTACACATGTGTGCCTTATTTATTTCACTTAGGAGTATATCTTCAATATGTATCCATTTTCCTATGAATGAATCTATTTTCTCCTTCTTTATGGCTGAGTAATATTCCATTTTATAGAAAAACCACATCTTCTTTATCCAGTTTCCAACGGATGGGCAAATAGGCTGCTTCCAAGATTTAGGTATTACAAATTGTGCCGCTATAAACATGGGTGCACATACTTCTCTGTGATATGATTCTTCATTTTTAAAGAATAGTACAGCATGAATCCAATTATATAGGGTTTAAAGACAAGAAGTACTGTGTGCCATTTGTAAACACATGCATATTAGTAAAAAAACACGTAAGTGGAACTTGGATAAAAGGAAGGAAGGAAATGGGATTCATGGGGTCTATTGTGTTTTTGATGATTTGTATCTCAAACAAAAACATCAAGAGGGAGGATGGCAAAATGTTAACTTGGTTTTAGTTGGGATGGTGGCTATGTAAATTATCAATCCTTTCATTCTCTAAACTTTGAATGTTTGTATATTTTATATTTTTAAAATTAAACATTTAAAAATAAATATGTCTGAAAAATATGAAACCACCGGGATTGAAAACAGGTGGTTGCCACAGGCTGGAGATGAACTTGGGGTTTGAATATAAGGGGCCCCAGGAGCTCTCAGGGTGCTAGGACTGTTCCATGTCTGCTTATGGTAATAGTTACACAACTATACATATTTGTCAATACTCACAGATGTGCTCACTTTTTAAAAGGTGAATTTTATTATATGTAAGTTATACGCTCATTTTTTTCTCTTTTTATTGAGGTTATTGGTACAATCTAGGTATACAATACAATTACATTCATCATTGGGATTCTGTACCTTTACATAAGAGGTCTTGATTCTCATTTTTCCCCTTGTCCCTGCCCTCCCTTCACCCCCTTTTCCCCTCCCCATTTGCAAACACTTTATTTCCATTTTTTCAGTTTCTCATATTTTTTTCCTCTCCCTTATTACCTTTCCCCCACCCTTCCCACTTTCCTTACACCTTTAGCCCTTTACTTCCTATTTCACATTATTAATTATCTCATTAGGATCCTGTGTACTATTGTAGTTTTTCACACCAAAGAAACTATTCGGTATTTCAGTTAAAGAAATCTCTGTATGAACATCAAAAATAGGGAATCCTAAAATAAAACTAAAAAGGAAAGTAAAAGAGAAAAGGCAATGATGTAACATCAAAATAATCCTTAATTCTGGAGATGAAAATGGTCCCTTAACATATTTAAATTGCTTCTTGCTCTTGTAGTCTTATCTTATTCTTTTTTTCATTATTTAGAGAATACTTTCTTAGTTTCTGTAATCAAACCCACGTAGATATGACCTTACATATTTAGTACGATGTGTTACCCCTGTACATATGGAAAAAAATAAAATAAATTAACATTTCTAGACCAATATGGTTGTCCATTTCTGTACAATGCCAAGTCAACACAGTAAATTGGGATGACTTTTTCCAAAGTTGGCAGCACC